TGTTTGCAAGCACACGTACATATGTGAACGTGAACATGATAAACATGCTCCTAAACACTTCTATTAGTTTCATTCTTTCCCATTCACTTTGAATGGCTGGACATTTTTGACCGTGAACACCACAAGTGTGACTTTGTGCCTTTTTGTACAAAATAAAAGCCTTTCAAAACAAACTCCCTGATTAAACATTAAAGTACACTAGTGTGATAAACAGTGTACATTTTCATCAGTTTTTATTTATATTGTGAAAATTATTCATAAATAATGCTTTTTTCACTCAAAAAAGTAGGTGCCTACTTTCAGATAAATGAGGCCTACGATTAAATAGATGCAAATATAAATACAAAACCAGTCCTAAATGAAAGAAAAGAAGTTGACAAAAAGATTGAATCTAATCTTTGGTGATAATATAGCATAATGAGTGATTTATAAGCAATGTTTTGAGGCCGGGTCATTTTTGCCTGGGAACACCACAAGTGTGGCTTTGTGCCATTTTGTACAAAATAAAATAATTTAAAACCAAAATCCCTGATTAAACATTAAAGTACACTAGTGTGATAAACAGTACAAATTTTCATCAGTTTTTATTTAATATTGTGAAAATTATTCATAAATAATGCTTTTTTCACTCAAAAAATGAGGTGCCTACTTTCAGATAAATGAGGCCTACGATTAATCAGAAGCAAATATAAATACAAAACCAGTCCTAAATGAAAGATAAGAAGTCCAATCCAATCTTTGGTGATAATATAGCATAATTTTTGAGGCCGGGTCCTTTTTGCTCTGTAAACTCGTTAGTGTGATAGGGTTCTGAACACAACACAAGGGTTTTAATTATTTAATATTGTGAAAATTATTCATAAATAATGCTTTTTTCACTCAAAAAATAAGGTGCCTACTTTCAGATAAATGAGGCCTACGATTAATCAGAAGCAAATATAAATACAAAACCAGTCCTAAATGAAAGAAAAGAAGTCCAATCCAATCTTTGGTGATAATATAGCATAATTTTTGAGGCCGGATCCTTTTTGCTCTGTAAACTCGTTAGTGTGATAGGGTTCTGAACACAACACAAGGGTTAACTTGATGTACTAAACTTGATGTTAAAATTTAAAACTATATACACATATTTTTAAAAAATAAATAAAAAAAACTACTAAAAATGACAAAACACGCAACAAAATTACTAAAACTTTAACTGAAATTTAAATGAAAACAGAAAATATAAAACCAATTCAAAATATTAAAGGGATAGTTCACCCAAAAATGCGTCGTGGTACTCTCGTGAACGCACGTCGAAGACTGACACGGAAGAGAAGAAATTGTTGAATAAATTCATTCAAAGTCATTATTTTTGTTTTCTTTGCACACAAGAAGTCTTCTCATAGCTTCATAAAATTAAGGCTGAACCTCAGATGTCACATGGACTATTTTAACAATGCCCTTCCTACCTTTCTGGGCCTTGCGTTGCTGTCTATGCAGGGTCAGAAAGCTCTCGGATTTCATCAAAAATATCTTAATTTGTGTTCTGAAGATGAACTATCTAAACTCACATCCGTGTGCGTGAAGTTACCTTGCCGTAGTTAGAGATGGCCTCTTTGTATTTCTCGATGATGTCCTCCTGACTCAGGCAGTTCTTGGCACGACCGATCTCAGTGCTCGTGTCTGCACTGATGCCATTGGTCGTCAGAGCACCTGGACAGGAAGACAAGAGAAGGAACTATGATAAATGCACAACGAAAAATTAAGAAAACAAAGACAAAGAAACAAAGCCAGTTCTGTACTCTGCATGCCACTGTAACACTTCCATTCACGTTACCTTATTTTCAAACGTTATAAAGCCTACAGTCCATAATAATATTAAAGATTTTTGCATAATGCCGCTCTGAGATATAAGATGCTGCAAATGAGTTAATTTGTCTGATGCAAGACCTGGAACTCAACAAGCAATCTCTTGAATTAAATATGAAAGTCATCAAGAAACATATTTCGAGGAATGAGAAAAATAATTACACACTCAGGATGTTTATTAAAGAAACAAGAGAACAAATTTACCCTATTTACTTTATTAATCCTTGTCCCTGGTTGCATTGGGAACGATTCATCTGCGCATAATCTTTTATTAAACTTGAATAACCTCCTGGAATGGCTTTTCATAAATCTAATTCAGAAAATGCACATTGGAAATATGTATGTTGGGCCAAGAACTGTTGGTTTTACCTGGCAAACCGCATTAAAGAAATGAGAAATCAATTAAAAACAATTCAATCTTTTTATTTTATTATGTAAATTGAATCTCTTATTTTTAACGAGTCTGCATATGATCAGATAACTTTGAAATACAAATGGAAGCAAAACACTGACAAAACGTGGTAAAGTTGTAGCGTAAACGACACGTCCTACAAGTCCTATTGCATAAGGTCTAAACTAAATCTCTATGTCAAAACCATTAGTTACTAATAAATTATGGCTAAGTATTATCATCAAAAACACAAACTAATCTGTTCAGTAAAAATCTGTACTAAAGATTTTTATAATGGATGTTTGGTGAATCAGTCATTAACCTGATAGCTACTGCAAAAATCAGGAAGAAAACACAAATATCCCATCTAATGATTGCAAAAGTGTCAGCTGGAATCAAAAGTAAGGATTCAAATCCATGCACTGAAATCACTGTAGATATTTTCATTGCTGTCAGATCAGAAACACAAAAGGCCACCCAAACACCTGCACACATGCACAAGCACAATAAAGTAACTAAAACTATGTCACAAGTGCACAAACGGGCAAGAATAAGAGCCATATCTTGAGCTACACATGTGCTTTACTGTACCTGGATCAATGAGAACTTCTTGAGCGCCTGAAGACGGACAGATAAACAAACAGAGAGGGAGAGACAGAGAGATAGAACCTGGTTCACTCTTGGGCACAAGCAGTGAGCAGTGTTAGTACAGCACATATCAGGGCACAAAATGGTCTGCTATCACCCCGACATTGCTGAATCGTGATAGGATGTCAGTACAGCAGTGGGGATGAGCAGACATGCAGCAGGACTGAGAAGTGATGGGCTCTTCAGTTAAGTCATGTGGATTATTGTGATGTTTTTATCAGCTGTTTGGACTCTCATTCTGTCGGCACCCATTCACTGCAGAGGATCCACTGGTAAGCAAAGTGATGTAATACTAACTTTCTCCAAATCTGTTCCCATGAACAAATAAATTAATCTTCATCTTGGATGGCCCGAGGGTGAATACATTTTCAGCAATACATGTAATTTTTGTGAAATGTTGTATTTGGAAAGTCTCTATATCTTGAAAATTTTGATTTGACAATTTGTTATGCATTCATTTTAAGCGTGCAAATACTCTTTGAAACGAATGTAGTTGTAAATCTGTAGCAAAAACCCCACCACAATGTATTAATTAGCAAATTAAACATGCACAGTGGATATAGAAAAGAATCACCCCCCCCCCCCCCTTTAAATTAATTAAATTTTGTTGCTTAGCAGCCTGAAATGAAGACGGACACAGTTTTTGTTTTATCCAGGTGTATTTACTCAGTGCAACTTATAACATCCAAGTGAAAGAAAGAACACCAACAAGTCAGAAACAAAAAATAAAAAAACAGAATCACTGAGTTGGAAAAAGGATCACCCCCTTGTGTCAGTATTTTGTTGAACCACCTTTTGCTTTAATTACAGCCTTCAGTCTGTTGGGATTTATCTCTGTCTCTACTAACTTTGCACATTCAGACTTTGCAATACTTGCCCACTCTTCTTTGCAGACATCAGACACATAATTTAAGAGACATCCAACTCTTTCACTTACAAATTAATGCATGATGTAAATAAAAACATTATTTCAGTTTCCATAGGAGATCCTCACATTTCTTTCTTGAATGTATGTGAGTGTGGGGGGGAAAAAGCAAAGATATACAGAAGATCTACAACAGAATTAAATATGAACTCCAGAATCTCTCAAGCCACTAAAATGAAAAGATGGGGGGGGAAAAAAGTCATCTTGATATTTTTGGGGAAACCATTTGTTCAGACAAAAGCGATGCTATAGACATGTCTGACTGCACTGACCAGGTCTGTGTCTCATTAATGCATGATGTAAATAAAAACATTATTTCAGTTTCCATAGGAGATCCTCACATTTCTTTCTTGAATGTATGTGAGTGTGGGGGGGGGAAGCAAAGATATACAGAAGATCTACAACAGAATTAAATATGAACTCCAGAATCTCTCAAGCCACTAAAATGAAAAGATGGGGGGAAAAAAAAGTCATCTTGATATTTTTGGGGAAACCATTTGTTCAGACAAAAGCGATGCTATAGACATGTCTGACTGCACTGACCAGGTCTGTGTCTCTTTCCAGCATCGGCAGCAGAGGAGACGCCAGGTTTGCGGGCTCCGCTCTTCCCCGCAGTGCCTCCTGGGTAATGGAAGATGACAGACGCAGAACACAGCCCCTCCAAAGCAGCTGAGGAGCAACACATAAACCAGTTCACTGTTTCTATTCATCACTGGACAGTTGATCTGTCATGCAGGTTTTAAAGCAAGATGCTTGGAGTTGAAGGGTTGAGATTGTGACGAAAGTTGACAGGGTTTGTTAGCTGGCAGCACATGAGTTTAAAAACTGGATATAACTTTGCACTGGCATGCAAGTGACTTTATTACACCAGGGTTATTATAGTTAACTACAAACAAAAAAACTATTTATTTCAGTCTTTAACATCTCAATTTCATTTAGTTTAACTTGATGTACTAAAATAACTGAAATAAAAAAATACTAAAAAACTATATAGACATACTATAATTAAAAACATTAAAAATACTAAAACTTTAAACTTTAAATGAAAACGGAAAATATAAAAATAAAAATGTATTGTGTGTGTGTGTGTGTGTGTGTGTGTGTGTGTGTTAACAGATGATTTTATTATTTTATTCACCTATTAACATTTCAGATTTTTATTTAAAGAACTAAAACTAAATATTAAATACAAAAAAAAAGTTGTGAAAGTATCAATCAATCACCAGCTTACCTCCCAGCCATAGGAAGTCATTGACAGACCGCAGCAGCTCTACAGCCATGTGATAATGTACAAGCGCGTCCTGCAGCATGCCTGCCTGGAGACACAGATCCCCGACGTGCTTCCTCATGCGGCCCTGACAGCGTTTCTTGTAGTGCCTGAGCAAGAGGAGCAGCAACAGGCATCAGATAAATATTCAGCATTTATGCACAGAGCTTAATCGATGCAAGACACACTCGCAGCCAAGTGCAGGTGACGTCAGCCATATTTAATTCAAATTATTTTTTATCAGCGGTGAATCGATGTCATCTCATTTGGCTCTCCTTATATGGAACACAAATATGCTGATGTGGTTTTGCATTAAGCTTGGTCTTCTGTCTTAGCCCAGGATTTACAGACAGAGAGAGGGAAGCTGGAGCTGAAGATACAGATGCAGTGGGAAGATGATGCACAGGCAAAACTGGGAGGGATTTTAACTAAAGGGCTCACAAAGTAACTTTATGTCAGTAAAGTAATTAAATACATTTTTAAAAAATTAGGGATTTCTATTTTATAAACATGAGGAGGTAAAACTCTAGTGGAAGGACCCCTATAGATATAGATAGGTAGATGGTGTGCAAGAGGGTCAAGTGTTATTCAAGCTAGAGTCAGACAAAACAGGAGACATGAATTTCTTCATGTTAAGACTTTCATAATTTTTCACTTTTACATAGAGAGGATGTATCAGTAAACATATAATTACTTTAAATGATCAGCAACAGTGATTAAAACAATGTTTATATATTTTTTTTTAAATACTTTTTGACAGATTACAAATACACTAAACTATCATCTTGAAATCTTTCAATGCCATATTGGCATATATAAAAAATTATAATATTGACAATAACATCAACATACACACCAAATAAGTCGAATAAGTTTTTTTTTTTAATCAGCAAAAAAAATAAAAAAAATCACAGCTGCTAAATTTAATAAATGTTAAAATACAATACATATCTTAAATTATTTTATATATATATATATATATATATAGAGAGAGAGAGAGAGAGAGAGAGAGAGAGAGAGATCTATATAAAATTCTATAATAGAAAAATTAAAAAAAATAATAATATTCATATCATATACATCAATAATTATATTACTAGGATGATTATTTTAATAAATAATCAATTAGCCTAAACCTACACTATAGACCTCAAACTTCACATAGCTAATCAGTTATACTCATTTGAAGGTAATGACTTCTTATCTAGGAGACAAGAGTATAATATAAAATGTTCCCTTTCAAATTTGCCAAAAAAAATATATAATAATAATAATAATATTATTATTTATATATATATATTAGCCAAAATGTCTATCCATTAATCCCTACTATTATAATTAAATAACAAATATTAAATGAATTGCCTACTTTTTATATTACGTTATAAAATTTATATTTAAAAATAGAATTAATATTATTGCTTTATATTAATAAATATAATCTTTATAAACATATAATCTATATTTAACTTCTGCTCAAGAACTTACATCTTGCAAAAGAGCACTCACAGCTGAACTCAGAGAGTGTTTTCTATAGACACATGGATGTCATATTCAAATTCATGCTGCGACCGTAGATGAGATGAGCATAAAGCTTTGCGAGCAATCACTCATGAATTACTGAATGACATCCATGCATTTCTGCACTTCAAACAGACAGAGATAGTGAATAAGAAATGCAGTACACTTGATCAAACACTTGACCCTGTCAGGCACCAGGACTCAGAGAACCTTGCCCGAGACTTTTTAAACAGGGATTCAAAACATTCTCACCATAAAGGTGAAGTGTATCATTTATGCACAACAAAACAGAACTACAAAATAGGAATATCCACCATTAAGCAAACAGAAGTTCATCACTGGTTTTATTCTAAAGCGACAGGTCGGGCAGCTCAACTAAAAAAAAATAAAAAATGACACACTTCACCTTTAAACAATCAACTCGGATGATATGAGGAACCAAAGACACAAAATCTTTTTCCATTCCTGCACATTGACTTGCATTTCAAAAAGTCTGAACTTTCTACTCTAAACTGAGACACAAGAGAATCGAGGTCCAACCACTGTGTCACTGACGGGGAGAGGAAGAGGCTGATCAGGTAAGAATGAACTAAACCGGCTCACCTTTTCACACCCAATAATAAACTCACAGGACAGTATGAAAGAAAAGAAGAAAGACAAATAAAACAAGGCAAAACAAGAGAAGGGAAGAAAAAACAACAACCATGAAAAACAAATGGCAAAACTCATGAAACAGGATTGAAGATCATGCACGGTTGATCTTCAAGCAAAACATCATATTCTGTGACTCTTGCATTCAGTATTTACCAGTCAATTCAGACTTCATTTAAAATCAATTCCGATCAGCAGATGAACTGCAAAGGGGTTCGTGAGATGAAAAAAAAAGTGAATAACACCTTAAATAATCATTTTAAAAAAATGCTTATAACAATATATAAATACATAAAATACATAATTTGTTTTTATTCTTTTATATATTAATTTATTTGACTGTATTATAAATATATAAACATATTTTATTTGTTTACTTGCGTGCCATGTGACCATTATGTTACATTAGAGAACTACTGTGTGCAAATGCTAATAATAAAAGCTAAAAGCTATATAAAGTGAAACAAACAAACAAACAAGCTAATAATTATCTAAGTCACAAAAAAGTTAAATAAATTAATCCAAAATAAAACATTTAAAACTAAAATACGTAAATATAAATAAATGTGTATATATCCTTAAATATATACAAATTATATTTGGTGTTGGTTAATGGCCACATGAATGATGCATGAATATGCTAATTTATTGTTCAATTATTACTATAAAACATTCGAATAAATAAATTCAAAATAACACACTTAAAAAAAATACATAAATCAAAATATTTTATTATTGAGATTGTATATATAAAATATATAAAAATATTTATATATAAAATCTGACACTTCAAGTAAATAGTTTAGGTCAAAGGGGTTCAGCTGACAAAAACGTTTGGAAAATCCATTGTCTAAATAAAAATAACGAAAAATAACAAGACAAAAACTCAAATCAATCAATATAAATGCTACAAATAAATGTAGGCATCACAACATTATAATGCTCAGTATAAAAATACATATATTAAGAGATTTGCAAAAGATTACATTTAATAGTGGGAATAAATTAATAGCCTTTTTCAAAAATAACTTTAAGTTATCACTCAATGATAGTAAAGCTAATCTAAAATGTAAATATAGAGGAAAATAGCATGTTCAAGTCAATAACTGGTCAATATATCCAAATAATCAAACAATAAATGTAAAAAATATATTTAATTTCAGCCGATAACCGATATAGTACCTGTATATTATGCATCCCTAATAGTGATGCTTGCCTTAGCAAGATAATAATGTTAACTGAAGTTTCATTCAGCCACACTTTTCTAGATATAAGCATATGGGTAATAGGTTTTCCAATAGACGATTATTCTGGTTACCAATAAAGATGAGCACTAGGGCTGTCAAAACTAATTTCGAATATTCGTCGAATTTAAAATAAATTCAATTTTAGGTGTGCGTTAAGGAGGCAGCCTTATCAGCGGCACACGAGATGCGACGACGATGTAAGTGTCACTGCATTTTAATGTTTTTGTTAGCCTATCCAGTTGAAGCCACTAGATGCGGCGCAGCTGCATTGCTAATTACAAATATTGCGGGAAAAGAGAACATCAATGTGGAGAAGATCTTGTTTACGTCAAAACTGAAACCAAGCCGTTTACACAGAATGCATATTTTGCGTGTTTTCTAGAGGGACATCTATTACTGTTGCACTTGGCTTTCGGCCCTTTGTATTAAACTATGAATACATACATGATGCTGTTTTGTTTATAGTTGTTTAAGCAACTTAAATCATTATAATTGGTTTTTAAACATTATGCACTTTTTTCACAGATAGTCATGTTATCTTATGCTTTGAATAAACGTGCATTTGTAATATTTTGCTCGATGCGCCCTCTTGTGGCCTCAAGAGAGAAGCCAAAAGCTTTTCTTCACCCTAACTGAAATTATGCATTTTAAATTAGAATTTAGTTTTTCAGCCATTTTGACATCCGTAATGAGCACATTCTCGAAGCCCAAACTCACCTGCTGTCTGTGTCCAAGCCCACAAAGTCCTTCTTCTCGAATGGCACACACAGCAGTTGTATCTTATCGCCGGATTTATCGGTTGCTCTGTCCAGCCTTTTGGACTCCAGGACAATAAATATGGACTCCACGAAATCCTCCACCCGCTTCTCCACATCAGGACAGTCGTCGTAGCTGGGGTAGAAGGCCACATCTGTCCGCTGCTGTTCGGCCACCTCCCCCTGCAGCCCGAACACCAGCAGCCGCGAGTCGTACAGCGTGGAGCCAAACACCTCCTTCTGCCCGTGGAAGCGGTCTGACGTCTGAGGCCACTCTTTGGCCGTGGTGCAGCTGGTCACTGAGATGAGACCCACCACTTTGCGATGGGTCTGAAAGTCGCCCCAATCGTTGTTCTCAGGCGGGTAATGGTGGCGGTATCTGATGAAGAGGACGCGCTGGGAGTCCCGTATGCTGACCTGGCACACGCTGGTGATGCGTTTGTAGATGCGGAAGAACTGGTCCTCTGGGACGATGCCCATGGGCTGGACCACCACCAGGACTGTCTGATGGTCCTCAGCACACTGCATGTAGTCTGGGACACTCATGTCTGCATACAGCAACTCTAGAGAAGGAAAAAAATCCACAAAACAGCATATTCATTTGTGGTTTCAAATATTTTGATGCCTGATGTATAGTAAATGCTACTTTTAAAACAACAGGCTAAATAGAAATTTATACTAAATAACACATTTTTATTAAGTAATTATTATATATATACTACCACTCAAAATTTGGGATTAGTAAGACTTGTAATGTTTTTTAAAGAAGTCTCTTATGCTCATCAAGGCTGCATTTATTTGATCAAAAATGCAGAAAAAAACGTAATCTTGCAAAATGTTATTACAATATAAAATAATGGTTTCTATTTTAATATACTTTAAAATATAATTTATTTCTGTGATGCAAAGCTGTATTTCCATCAGCCATTACTTCCGTGTAAAGTGTCACATGATCCTTCAGAAATCATTTTAATATGCTGATTTATTATCAGTGCTGGAAACTGTTGTGCTGCTTAATATTTTTTTGGAACCTGCGATTCTTTTTCCAGGATTCTTTGATGAATAAAAAGTTAAAAAGAACAGCATTTATTTGAAAATAGAAATCTTTTCGAACAATATACACTACCGTTCAAAAGTTCGGGGTCAGAAAATTGTTATTCTTTCTTTTTTTTTGAAAGAAATTCAAACTTGTATTCAGCAAGGATGTGTTAAATTGTTAAGAAGAGATTTATATTGTTAGAAAAGATTTATATTTTGAATAAATGCTGTTCTTTTGAACTTTGTATTCCTCAAAGAATCCTGAAAAAGTATCGCAGTTTGCAAAAAATATATATTTGGCAGCACAACTGTTGCCAACATTGATAATTCTAATAATAAATCAGCATATTAGAATGATTTCTGAAGGATCACGTGACACTTTACACTGGAGTAATGGCTGATGGAAATACAGCTTTGCATCACAGAAATAAATTATACTTTAAAGTATATTAAAATAGAAACTAGGGCTGTGCGATATTGAAGAAAAATGTGATATGCGATAACTCCTTAAATAATGCGATATTCGATATGCGATACGATAATGCTTAAAGTGCCACATGCTCAGATGAAACAGTTTTACTCAGCTGTTGCTGAGTCAGTTCTGTGAACTTCTTGAACTATCTTGTGTCATATATATATGGTTATTTGTATGCATGTATGTACCAAGAGTTCCTGTAAAACCACAACAAAATCCTTGTGTTTGCGCACACTTAAGTGGTGAATAAAGCTCATTCTGATTCTAATAAGAAAGCACCCCTACAACAACTTCTGAAAGTGAACGGTATGTGTTTTACTCGAGCATTACATAAAAATGTAAGGAACTGAATAATAAAAAGGAAAAATAAAACACTGCTTAGAATTGACTCTTTGAATTCAATATGCACTGATTCTTATTTAAGCTACAAAAGTTATTTAGGTGATTTTCTCTTTGTCTTTTGTTCATGGCCCCAAATATTGCAAGCTGTAGCGATATGCATATTGCGATATTTCGATAATTTCGATATATTGCACAGCCCTAATAGAAACCATTATTTTAATAACATTTCGCAAGATTACCGTTTTTTTTTTTTTTTCAAAGTCTCTTTCACAAAGCTCACAAAGGATGCATATATTTGCTCAAAAATGCAGTAAAACCTTTTGTAACTGAATATGTTATAAAATAGAATTTATTCCTGTGATGCAAAGCTGAATTTTCAGCATCATTACTCCAGTCTCCAGTGTCACATGATCCTTCAGATATCATTCTAATATGCTGATTTATAGAAAATGAATTATTGTTCTTATTATCAATGTTGAAAACAGTAATGTATTGTAATGGTCTGCTTGACAGAAATGCATGTTTAATCAGCATTTAAATACACACTAATAAAACAGGAGTACTGAATTAACTTCAGTAATCTTGTTAATAAAACAAGTAAATCAGTGGGGGAGAAAAAAATATCACTAAATGTTCCATATTTGACACATTCATAAACATAAATCGAATAAAACATTATAACATCTAGCATTATAAACAAACAAACCAAATAGCCAAATGTTTCAGCCTTGCATAAAACAATCATCGTTGTTTGTTTGTTCATTCAAAATAACATATTTGACAACATTTGTGTTTGTTTTGGTCGGATTTCAAAGCCGTGTTTGAATGAAACATCTTCAGATATCAATATGGCAACAGCGTTTTAACGTACGCAAAGAAAGCCACAACATAGAAAGTGTCAAATGTATTCCAATATAACGCTGACAGAATAATTATATGCTTTTCAAATA